TAAAAGGGGAGCGCAGTCCAGGACAGGAGGTGTCCCATCAAACCAGCAGCAAGACCCATCTCAGCAAACCAGCAGGAGATCCTGAGCCCAGTGTGGCAGAGCAGGCACACACCAACCCCAGGACCCGTACATGCCTCAGCATAGCCAGGGGAATGGGCAGATTCCAGCTCCAAGAACCTCCAAGTACTTCAGCACAGCCCCAGGCAAACAGGCAGACACCAACCCTCCTGGTGCCTAAGCAAATAGGCAGCACCAAGGCCAGCTCCCACCACGTGCTTCAATGTAGCCCCAAGGAAACCCAGAAATACCCCACCAGCCTCAGCACATGCCAGATACCAGCACTAGGACCCCCGGGTCAGCACCAGCCAAGCTGACAGACCCCTACAGCCCCCAGCAGTGCCAGTCACCCCCCACTCCATCCCCTCAGGGCAACATCAGTGCAGCAGCCGGTGCCTGTAGCCCCTGGCACAAGAAGCCTGAGACAGTGCCCCTTCCACCCTGGATGCTCAGATTTAAAAGAGAGGAAAAAGGCCAAAAAAGATGAGCAAAAAACAATAAAAAAGAATCTGACTACAGAAGGTTAGTATGGTAACGGAAGATAAAGACATGAGCTCAGAAGAGAACAACAATGTGAAAACACTCATGGGCAAAACCCTAAAGAAAAATGGGAAGTGGTCTCAAGCCCAGAAAGAACTCATGGAGGAGCTCAAAAAAGAACTTAAAAGTCATATAAGAGAGGTAGAAGAAAAACTGAGAAAAGAGATGAGAGTGATGCAAGGGAATTATGAAAAAAGAGTCAACAGCTTGGAAAAAGACAACAACTGCTTAAAAAGTAGAACTGGCCAAATGGAAAAGGAGATACAAAAATCCACTGAAGAAAACAACTCCTTAAACTATACAACTGGCCAAACAGAAGAGGAGGAACAAAAGCTAACTGAGGAAAACAACTCCTTAAAAGTTAGAATTGGGCAAGTGGAAGCTAGTGACTCTATGAGAGATCAAGAATCAATCAAACAAATTCAAAAGAAAAAAAAATGAGAAAATGTAAAATACCTCATGGGAAAAAACAACTGACCTGGAAAACAGATCCAAGAGAGACAATGTCAGAACCACTGGACTACCTGAAATCCATAATCAGAAGGAGGACCTGGATAGCATCTTTCAAGAAATTATCAAGGAAAACTGCCCTGATATACTGGAACCCAAGGCAAAGTAGACATTGAAAAAATCCACCAATCACCTCAGGAAAGACATCCTAAAATAAAAACTGCAAGGAACATTACAGCCAAAATTCAGAACTATCAGGTCAAAGAAAAAATACTGCAAGTAGCCAGAAAGAAACAAGTCAAATATCAGGGAGCCACAGTCAGGATTATACAGGACTTAGCAGCTGCACCATTAAAAGATCAGTGGTCGTGGAACATGATATTCTTGAAGGCAAAGGAGCTAGGACTACAACCGAGAACCACTTACCCAGTAAAATTAAGCATGATGCATCAAGGGAAAAAATGGTCATTCAACAAGATAGAAGGGCTTCAAGCTCTCATAAAGAGAAGACCAGAATTAAACCAAAAATGTGGTCTCCAATATCAAGTCCCAAGAGAAGCATCAACAGGTAAAAAAGGAAAAGAAAACCTAAGGGATTCAATAGAACTGAATTGCTTACATCCCTACATGGAAACAGACTTGTAATTCTTAAAAATTATATCACTAATAGTACGCTAGAAGGAATATACGTAGATAGAGGATATGGGTATAAGGTGAATTTGAGAGAATGACATTAAAAATAACTAAGGGATGAGAAAGAAGAATATCTTGGGTGCAGAAAGAACAGAGAGGCAGAATGAGGCAAATTATTTCACATGAAGGGTGCAAAAGACTTCTTTTTTAAATTAATTTATTTTTAGTTTTCAACAATCACTGCCATATGCTTTTGAATTTTAAATTTTTCTCCCCCTCCCTCCCCAAGATGGTGTGCAATCTGATATAGGCTCTACATATACATTCCTATTAAACCTATTTTAAATTAGTCATGTTGTAAGGAAGAATTAGAACCAATAGGAGGAACAAAACACAACAAGAAAAAAAGAGCAAATAGTATGCTTTGATCTGCATTTAAACTCCACAGCATTTTCCATCGTGAGACTTTTGGAGATGTCTTAGATCCTTGCATTGCTGAGAAGGGCTAAGTCTATCAGAGTTAGTCATCACATAATGTGGCTGTTACTGTGTACAATGTTCTCCTGGTTCTGCTCACTTCACTCAGCATCAGTCCATATAAGTCTTTCCCGGTTTTTCTGAAGTTCGCCTGCTCATCATTTCTTATATAGTACAATTGTATTACATTACATTTATATACCACAACTTGTTTAGCCATTCCCCAATTGATGGGCATCCCCTCAATTTCCAGTTCCCATAAAAGAATTCCCAAAAAAGGGAAAGATGGGAGGGTGGGAGATGGGCATTGCTTAAACCTTACTGTTATCAGTATTGGGTCAGAGAGGGAATAATATACACAATCAGTTTAATATAGAAATCTATCTTACACAACAGGAAAGTAGGAGGGGAAGAGATTAAATAAAGGCAGGGTGAGGTACTATCAGAAGGGAGGACAGATCAGGGGAGGTGGTAGACAGAAGCAAAACACTGTCGAGGAGGGAAAGGTTGAAAGGAGAGAGAGGACAAAAGGGAGGAAAAAGGGGTGGAGGGAAATACACAGTAATCATAACTGTGAATGTGAATGGGATGAATTCTCCCCAAAAATGGAAGCAGATAGCAGAATATGGACCAAAACCCAAAATCTTACAACATGTGATTACATGAAACACACTTGAAGCTGAGGGATACACACAGAGTAAACATAAGGGGCTGGAACAGAATCTATTATGTGTCAGCTGAAGTTAAAAAAAAAAAGCAGGGGTAGCAATCCTGATCTTAGACAAAGCAAAAGCAAAAATATATCTAATTAAAAGAGAGAAGGAAGGAAATTACATCTTGTTAAAAGGTACCACTGACAATAAAAAGCAAGATCAGTCCTGAAAAATAAATGCAGCAAGTGGTATAGCATCCAAATTCTTGAAGGAGAAGTTAAATGAGTTACAGGTTGACAACCAAACAAGAAATAGCAAGACTAAATGTAAAATAGATAATTTTGATTATATTAAATTAAAAGATTTTGTACAAACAAAACCAATGCAATCAATATTAGAAGGAAAGCAGAAAGCTGGGAAACAATCTTTACAGCCAGTGTGTCTGATAAAGGCTTCATTTCTCAACTATATGGAGAACTGAGTCAAATTTATAAGAATACAAGTCATTCCCCAATTGATAAATGGTCAAAGAATATGAACAAACAGTTTTCAGATGAAGAAATTAAAGCTATTTATAAGCATATGAAGAAGTACTCTAAATCACTACTGATCAGAGAAATGCAAATTAAAATGACTCTGAGGTACTACCTCACACCTATCAAATTGGCAAACATGACAAAACAGGAAAATTATAGATGTTGGTGAAGATGTGGGAAAATTGGAACACTAAGGCATTGTTGGTGGAGTTGCGAGCTGATCCAACCATTCTGGAGAGCAATTTGGCACTATGCCCAAAGGACTACAAAACTGTGCATACCTAGGTCTATATCCCAAAGAGATAAAAAAAAAAAGGGGGGGGAAAGGACCACATGTGCAAAAATATTTATCACAGCCTTTTTTATGGTGGCAAAATATTGGAAATTGAGGGGATGCCCATCATTTGGGGAATGGCTGAACAAGTGGTGGTATATAAATGTAATAGAATACTATTGTTCCATAAGAAATGACGAGCAGGAGGACTTCATAGAAACCTGGAAAGTCTTGTACAGTCTGATGCTGATTGAAGTGAGCAAATTAGGGTTAGGGTGCCTCGCGCATAGTGCAGACTCTAGAAATGCTTATTCCTCAGGCCCTTGGCGCCTTCTGCCCAGACCCTACAGGTGCTCCCTGACTGGCCTCCCTTCTCCTGACCGCATTCCAAAGTTTGACCGTTTCACTCCCCTGCCCAGTAAGTTCCTCTTGCCATTGGGTTTTATAAAAGACATGCTCCACTGTTTGACTTCTAAAATCCAGCACTGGCCTCCCCTTCTAAACGTTTTGCATGTGATTCTCTAAGATCCATTGGCTCTTCTCTGTCCACAATCCTCCATTCTCCTGCCTCTGCTCTTTTGCCCAGGCTGTGCTTCATGTCTATGATGCCATCTCTACTCTCTTCTGCCTCACATAATACCTAGCTTCCATCCAAATATAAAAAGTGGAAATCCCTACACCTTCAGCAAGCAATGTTATCTGTTTAATCAGAAAAAGATGATTTTCATAAAAGGATAACAACATGTTGATTTCTCATGGCCGGTATATGTTACGGAAGCAAAGTTTTACAAGAAACCTCCCTGAATTTTGAATCCCTTTCTGGTTCTGCATAAAATGTAAGTGGGAAAATTAAAGGGCCACAAACCAAGGCTTAGCGTGGAGATTCAGGCAAGTCCAGGATGTTGTGGGAGGCCATCTCAGGCAGGGTCAGATGGGAGGGCTCTAAGTGGCCATCATCACCCAAACACAGAGCCAGTGCTAGGCTCTGGAGAACAAGACTGATCCCCCCAAACCTGCATTCTGCCTGCATCGCATGAGAGGACCACCCTGGCCGCTCCGTCGGCCAATGCTGCCCCTGCCTAACCAAAGCAGGGGGAGTCACACTGCGGGGCCCTGTCTGTGACAAGATGGAGTCTGCACTGCCCCAGAAACACACAGAAGGGGCAGAGATTTGGGCAGCCTCCAAGCCCGGCCAAGGGCACGGTCCAGATCACCCCCCAACCCCTGAGGCCAGCAGCTGGCAGGGCCATGAGCGCGAGCAGGCCTCCTCCCAAGGGCAAAAACGGGCAGGTGTTAGTTTTCAGGCCCCTACAGGCTAAGGAAAAGAGGAGAGAAGTCTCCTGACCCCTCCTGCTGGGGCGAGGGATGCTCTCTGCTTACCAAATGGGGTCAGGGACCTCCTCCAGCACAATCTGGATCACACTGTGGTAGTTTTTCAGCTGGAAGACAAAAGGTGCCCGGATGAGCCCCTGTCCTCTCCCTGTGGGTCTTGGGGAGCTGGGAGGGGGGAAGGACACATCTCTCCACTAAGGATCTCTGGAACAAGGACAGGAAATGCCCTGAGGGCCCATCGAGTCCAGGCCTCTGGTTTGACAGAGGAGGAAATGGAGGAAGTCCAGATTTGGCAGGGGCAAGGGGGAGACTTCAGCTGCCTTTCCCATAAACTTCTTGTGAGAATCAAACAAAATGATCCATGTACAAAAGTCTTGTAACCAAAAAATGCTACACAAATATAGACTATTAGGAGGGACATTATTAGAAATGAGAAAGTCCCCAAACAGTCAAAATCCACTAAAATGATTTTTGTCTCCTGCTTCCCCCTCGTCTCCTCCTAAAACAGAAAGGGACAGCCCAAGGAGAGAAGCAGAGAAGCCCAGATGCGGAAGGCTGCCCGTGGTTGGGAGGTCACCAGGGTAGTGGGAAGGCAGCCGGCCAGGCTTGGCTGCCTAGCTTGCGTTCTCTCGGACTACACTCTGTCCTTCCCTCAACGTTATTAGACAAAATGTCAGAATCGGCCTTCACAGCACTCCCCGGAGGGTGGACATGCCACGCTCTCCTTTTTACCTGCTCGGGCGAAAAGCTCAGGATGAACTCATGGTCGGCATGAGGCTGAAGGCTGCCCTTCCTGGGAGTGACGTAGAAGGCGGTCTCGGAGTCAGGGTAGTACCTGATGTCCTCAGAGCTCCAGATCTCTCCTGGCATCAGTGGCAGCAGATTGGGCTTCGTAATCTGCCAGTGAAAGGGCAGGGCCACATGCCTGCGGCAGAGCAAAGACCTCATGAAGCCACAAGAAAGGGATCAGAGCAGCCTTTGTCCTCACCTAGGACTGGCCAGGTCTCCTCTGACAGCAGGAGCCCTGGGGGGCTGGCGAGGAGGACCCCGACTCTTCCCCTCACGGGGTCTCATCCAAAGCACCACAGGGCCTCGATCCCCAATTTTTACAGTGAAAAGGGGGAACAAGTGGGCAAAGTGATGTGAGGCCATAAGGTGGCCCACCTACTGCAAGGCCACGAAGCCTGCTCTAAATGCAGCTTCCAAAACCTTCCTGGAGGTCTTACCCCCACCATCCTGGGACTGAGAAACCTGCTGAAGGCCACCGGAGACTTTGTGTGTGGCAAAACACAAGGAGGGACTTCTAAGTCATGACTTCCAAAGCTCATGCTTTCACAACATCATGAGACATCTCTTATCCCATCACACATCAATCTCCACCAATACTGGCAAAAATGCTCTGCTGCCCCAGGAAATACCATAGAGCCAGGCCCTCTCAGAGTCACTTCTTAGGAAAGCCCATCTGGCAAGACCTATCAAAGGAAACTTCCGTGCACTCCCCCACCAAGTTCTACTGGGAACAGCCCCGAAGCCAAGCCAGGCGAGGACCACTTACGTCAGGTTTCTTACAATGAGGTGTTTTGAGGTTGTCGTCTGGATATTTTGGGACTCAAAGCGGATGAAGTGCTGAGCAGTCAGGTCCGTGAACTCCCCCGGCTCAGGATGGCTGGCCTCACCAGACACATAGAGGAGTTCCAGGGCAACCAGCTGACCAGTTCCTGGGAAAACAGGCTCATGATGTCACAAATGCTCCATGACATTCGTCCACCTGGAGCAGGGCTGTGAGGATCTGTGTGGGGCTCCACCCCACCTCCGCTCTGCCAGTCCGTAACATCTTACTTCTGGCTCTTCCTGGGGCAGTCACCTGGCTTGCGCTGCAGGAGGGAAAACTCACTCAGTGTCGATCAGAACTAGAGCATAATTGGGTAGATGCAAAACCAAAACCCAGCATACATCCACATATACCAACAGCCCACATAATAAATTTTCATTCCAAAAGAAATGATTTTTGGATTATCTGCTGTTGGCTGCAGGTAAGCAAATGATAAATCACATGAACGTTTAACACTAGTGGTGACTATTTATTTACATTTTGTGGCTTAACAGATTCCTGTTGGATGACTGCTTTCACCTAGCAAATGAGCATCTAATAATGGGAAAAGGTTGGAAGAGAATTGGAAAGTTCGGGTGACTGGTGCCCCCTGGAAGCAGATGGGTCTAAGAAGTTGGATTTTAATCGGGGGGAGGGGGGGGATGATGAAGAATGAAAGCCTGAGGTCCAATGGCTTAAAATCCAGGAAGTCTGGAAATGGCCTAGGAAACTGTGCTCTGTTTGTGTTCCTGCTGGAAGCCGTCGACCCCTGTGTTGAAGGCAACTCCTATGTCCCTGTGTGAGAAGGCAGAAGGGCCCTCTTGCAGTCAATCTTACTCAAGAAGCCCAAGTCTGGGGAGGAAGAAATGGTCCAAGAGCGGGACCATTCGTTAAGGGCTCACCAGGTGCCAAGTACTCTGATGGGCACCAGACACTTACAATCAGTACTGAGAAGCCAAGGGGGGAGAAATGGGTGTCACCTAAGAGAGGCCTGAAATAGTGACGTGATGTAAGGGTAATGAACAAAGTGAACCAAGATTTCAGTGCAAAAGAAGAAAAGATGAGTTCTCTGTCATCACTGCTGCTTGGCAGCATGGGATTCATGCTCATGGATGCTGAAAACTTGTACAGAAGGAGAAGAGATAAAAGCCGCTGGGCTGACAGGATACATCAAGAGGCCAAGTGAGGATGGGCATGTCAGGCAACTCCTTTAAACTCAGCTACTAAATCAAACACAGGCTGCACTCTGTACTGGTGGTGACCCTTTGTGGCCAACTCTTCTCTCTGTTGGACACTGTCTTCTCTCTAGGTTTTCAGGACGACTTCTCCTACTCCCCACCCCACCCCATTCTCTGACCTTTCCTTCTCATCAGCTCCGATGTATTTAATTACCATCTCCACGCTGATGAGTCTCAAATCTACCTTTTCCTGCTCCAATCTCTCTGCTGACCTCTAATCTTGCATCTTCAACAGCCTTTCAGATATCCCCAATTGGATGTCCATCTTGAACTCAATATGGCCAAAATAAAACTTGTTATCTTTTCTCCACCCCTACTTCCCCTCTCCTACCTTCCCTATTACTGTAGAGGGCACCTTCATCCTCCCAGGCTCACAACCTAGGAGTCATCCCAGACTCCTCACTCTCTCACCCCCCCATATCCAAGATGGTGCCAAGCCTATCCATTTCACCTTTGTAAGACTTCTCATTGATTTCACCTCTGCAGCCTCTCTGGTCAATTTCACTTCTGTAGTACTTCTGGTCGATTTCACCTCTGCAGCATCTCTCAAATACCCTTCTCTCTTCCAACGCTGCCCTCAACTTAATGCAGAATCTCATCACCTCACACCTTGACCATTGCAAGAGCATGGTTAGGGGGCGGTCTGCCTGCCTCTAGTCCCTCCCACTCCAGTCCAGCGTGTGCTCAACTGTCAAAATCATCTTCCTAAAGTGAAAGTCTGACCATGTCATTCAATAACCTCTGGGATTGAATACAAAATGCTCTCTTCCTTTCCAGTCTTCTTATACCTCACTCCCCACCACATATTCTTTGATCCAGTAATACTGGCCTCTTGTCTGTTCAGTGAACAAGTGCTCCTTTTCTCTGGCCATCCCCCAGGCCTGGAACACTCTCCCTCTTCTGCTGACTACTGACCTCCCTGGCTTCCTATGAGTTCCAGCTAAAATCTCTTCTGTAAGAAGCCTTCTCCCATCTCCCTTAATGACACAGTTGAGAGAGAGAAGTGTAAAGTCCTGAACTTGGGTTCACACCCTACAAAAGTCCAGGATCAGAGATGTGTGGCTCTACAGGGTCTCACATCAATTAGACTTGGGCTTCTAGCCAACTGCCAACTTGACACGAATCAGCATGAAGTGATCTTAAGTGGGCATCAAGAAAAAAGCTGGAAAAGTGAGTCTGAAACCAGGTCAGGGGGCTAGTCTGAAGAACTTGGGAGGGACTGATCAGAAGGAGAGATGACTTAGTGGTGACATAATCCTTATCCTCAAACATCTGACAGGCTAGCATAACAAAGATGAATTAGATTTCCTGTACTTGGCCCCAGAAGGCAGAATTAGGACCAGGAGAAGTTGCAAGGAAATAAATGTGTTACATAATATAAGAACTCCCTAACAATTGGATCTGTTTGAAATGGAATGGGTCACCTCATTCAGGTAATGAGTTCCTCATCACTGCAGGTATTAAGAAAAGAGCCTGCATGGCCACAGTGACCTGTAAATCACAGCCAGGGCTGAGGAGGCGTGGCGCCTAAGAGTCTGAGCCAGCGGAGGTTACCAAACACATAAATGCTAACGCCAGGTCGCCACTTGGACATTCTTCAACTGACTTTCCCAACAAAACAATTTCCCTGTGGATACTGAGAATGTGCAGGGTCAGCATTCACATCTGCACTTCCACACACGCAAAACACCAAATAATATAAAAAAAAGACTAAGCAATTAAAAAAAAAAAAGGGCAGCTCAGTAGCGCAGTGCATAGAGCACTGGGCCTGAAGTCAGGAGGACCTGAGTTCAAATCCGGCCTCAGACCAACACTTGACATTTATGAGCTGTGGGACCCTGGGCAAGTCACTTAACCCCAACTGCCTAAGCAAAAAAAAAAAAAAAGACTAAGGAACAGGAAGTTAGGTGGCACAGTGGAAAGAGTCCAGGATTTAGAGTCAGGAAGATCTGAGTTCAAATTTTGCCTCAGCTATTTACTTAGCTGTATAACCCTGGGCAAGTCACTTAACTCCTCTGGGCCTCAGTTTCCTCCTCTGTAAAATGGGAACAACAACAGTTCCTACTTCACAGAGTCATAAGGATCAGATGAGACAATATGTATAAGGCTCTTGGCAAACCCTGAAGCACTCTTCAAATGCTCACTGTTGTCATGTTATTGGACCTCACCCAACCTGCACTGTCCCTGGCAGCTCATGGGAGGGCCCCCCTATTTCCCAGAGTCACTGGAAATCTTGGCCCCAGCTCTGAGCAGTTCAGCCTCAGGAACAAGCCTCTATAATTAGGCATGTGGCGGGCTCCCAGTTGGCTCTCACCCGCATTTAGCACTTGGCTAAGGAGCCGACCGGTAAGGGCCTAAACAAGGTTCTAAGACCCGGGGAGGGAAAACTGCATATCAGCCTGAAAGGGACAAGCCATCTTCAAGAGAAGCAGACTCGCTGTAAAGGGGCTGGGAGATTTTCTTCAGAGAAGGAAGGGCATTAGGTTCTCCCATACCCAGACTGACAAGTTAAATGCAACAGCCACTTTGAGGCTATGTCTAATAACAACAACGCCGCCTTTCGGCATTCACACAGACGGCTCTAAACTTCACCAAGGGCCCTTTTTGTACACTGCCTCTTCTGAACCTCACTCACCACAACCCTGGGAGGCATTTTACAGATGAGGAAACTGAGGCACAGAGTGAAGTAGTGACCACAGCAGTGTTTGTGAGTAGGGAAATGACAATGCCCCCAGCATGGCTTTGGGCATTGTGCTTGACATGCTCTTACCAAGGTGACCGCCTTCCCTAGGGTCAAGTCCCAAACAGAGAATGCCTAGCCCCTAGAAGCCAGGAATTGCCCACTTGTTTCTGAAAATCCAGCACCTCACACATTGCTTTGTAGATAGTAAGCACTTAATAAATGCTTGTTGGCTTGGCATGGAAAAGCCCACCCCAGTGCTCGATAAACAAGACTATCTCATAGAATCAGCATAGTCCTCCTTAGGCAGTTAATCAAACAAATACCCCTATCCCAAAACAAACAGAGGCTGTCTCACAGAAGACCAAACCCTTGAAAATGGTTACATCCTTCAGAGGGTCCTCAGAAAAACATCCCAACTCAAACCAATTCTCAACACGTCTTTGGGGTCAGACTTCCTAGGATCAGGGAACTCAGAGGGACCCAAGGTCATCTCATCCAACCCCATCATTTTAAGGGGAGGAAACTGAGGTCCAAAAAGAGAGACCGATTTTGCAAAGTCACCCAGTGATTTGGTAGCAAGCAGCTGGGTCTACGCTACCATCCTCACCTCCCAAGCCCTAGGCCCCGGTTCTCTCCTTCTCTAATCTACACTATGGAGGGCACGGCCATGGCCATTGGCTAAAAGGTCCCCCTTTTCAGGCAGTGTCCTGAAAGAGTGAGTAGTGATCTAACAGAGGAGGAGTAACCCTTTGGGGCTGGGGGGGCAGCAGCTGATCCAAAGAGCCGCTTTGGGGCAGGCTAGCGATGTCAAGGAAACATAGAGGGGAGTGTTCCAAGCCTAGTCCATGAGGGCTTGGGCCTCTCGACTACTTGCCAGGTGCCCTCCAAGCATGTGCTCAGCATTCCCAGCCTTGGTGGAAACCACAGGAGGCCCCCATAAGAGACAGAAAACCAAGACACATGGTAGGGGTAGCTGGGAAAAAGAACTGCATTTGAGGGTGGCAGATTCAATCGGTTTTAGCCATACTAGCTCAAGGTGATGGTTGGACACCTAGGTGAGATGTCCCATAGACCCCGGAAAAGGTGAATGAGATGGAGCTTGGAAAATGGGTAGGCTGAGAAGAGAATGTGAGAGACGCCTATGCTGACACGACAGATGGTGAATGAGCTGTGCCAGGCAGTACGAATGGACAGGTGGTCTGTCACTCAGTCATTATTCTTGGAGCACCTACTATGTGCTAGGGGATGAGAATACAAAAGTAAGAGTGAAACGGTTCTTTGCTTCCTCAAAAACTGGCCTAATGCGACAGACAACCCATAGACATATGAGAATCCATACAAATGAACGCAAGGTGGTGATGGGAGAGAGGGATCAGGAAGGACTGGGTGTAAAAAGTGGGATTTTAACCGAACTGTGCAGGAATAGAGAAATCCCAGGAGGCAAAGGTGAGGAGCAGACTGGACGTGCAGAACAGGGAGGAAGCAGAGAGCTCTGGACAGCACAGTTGGTGGGGGTGCTCTGTGTAATGAGGCTGGGAACATGGGAAGGGATGAGGTCGTGGCAGGCTTTACGAACTGGAGAGAAAAGTTTCTATTTGATCCTGAAGATAACAGGGAGACATAGGAGTTTGCTGAGCAGGGGAATGACATGACCAGACCTATGCTTTTGGAAAATCATTTTGGCAGCTGAGTAGAAGACTGATTGGAGGGGTGAGAGCCTAGAGGCAGGGATTCCAGTTAGAAGGGGGCTGCCAAAATGGAGGTGAGAGGCGACAAGGGTCTGAAGGAGGGAGAAGCAATAAACCCAGCCAACCCCAGCTCAACCCAAAAAGGGAAGCTGCAGTAGAAGTAGGACTGAGCTCCCAGTCAGCAGGCCCACACGCTCCCACAGGTGGCAAACAGACCTGAAATGATGACTTCTTTGATCTGACAATTGTCACATACAATGATGAAAGATTTCTCCACAGTTTGCAGGGAAGTTGGAAGAAACAACACCTGAAAGAGAGAGCCCATGTGACTGACCATGATGTTGCCCCGACTTCCTGCCAAGAAAGTAACCCTAAAGAATCTTCCTCCCCTTCCCCCAATGCTAGAGCCAGACCCAGGAGGAATGGCCAGAAGGGCCTGATGGCCAGGGTGTCACCTGGGGCCACAACTCCTGAGACAGAGTAACAAAACCAGTAACGAGGCACATTTGCTCCTCTACCTGCTTTTTGCCACATTCCTGGGAAGAGGCTGGACTGGAGGGGAAGCCAAAGGTATTGAGCAATCACCCGAGGGTGCCACAGATTAGAGCAAGGTTCCAGGTCCCAAGGAGGCCCACGTGCTGCCCTCCTGACAACTGGCCTCTCAGCACCCCTAGGTAGAAGGACATCCTGCAGCACAGCACGGCACCCATGAAAGCCCTCTCCTGCCACGGGACTCGTCTATGAGCAGGTTACCTCTAAGAGAAAACAAACTCAGGGCCTATCACCCCAGAGACTAGCTCTAGTTTGGTAGGGAGGGCAACCTCAAACAGAGGACTTGTCCAATCAGCACTTGGCTTCCTGCCCAGGGGCAACAAGTGGGGGAGAGTTCTCCTTCAGTAAATAGGCTCTTGACGAGCTTTCCTTGGTTTTCTGCTCTCTAATCATGCCCCTCTCTTCTCCCCAGTTCCTAAAGCTGGTATACCCAAGCCAGTCCAGGGAGAGACGAGGGTGCTCCTGCACTCTGAGGGGCTCTCCAACACTTGCTGGACCAAGCGCCTTCTGCGTCCTCTAGGCTCATTCCCCTCCTTAGGTCAACTGTTTAGCCTAACTGTTAGGGTCACTGGGCTGCCTTGCTCATTCCTCCTTAGCTCTCCTCTCCCTCAGGTCAAAGGCAAACATGCTATTCCAGGCCTCCAGGAACCAGAGAAGACTGGCTTAACCCTGCCTGGGCCCCACATCTACCTACTCTGGCTTCAGGTAAAATACTGCCTCCTGGCAACTCCAAGACCCAGGCGTGTTTCCTAGGCTCCACCCCCTATGAATTCAGGACTGCCTCTTACTCAGGCCTTTTCAGAGGGCCCTTGAGAGCCACCCGTAGCTCCCATCTCCTCAGCTAGGCTCGGCTTCCTTTCTCTGCCCCTCTCCACTCCAAAGGCTTTGCTTAGCAGCCTGTTTATCCTGGTGCTAGGCCGATTCACCTTAGATGGAGCCTCACTTGTTCTTTCACACTGATGATGTGACTAAGAAGGTCCTCAGCTTTCCCCAAGAAAAAAGGCCCTCTCCTCCTTCCCGATTTTGCGATTCACCCTGATGTACTCAGGAAAAATACGATTGAGGACATCATAATGGCCTTGTGGGGTTTATGAGAATGAGTCCCACTGGACAGGTAGGAGCAGTGAGAGGGATTAGAGCAGCCACCGCCTCCGGTGAAGGACACTGCTCACACATGGGTCACCGGGGCTCTGATTGGTAAACCTCTTGGAGAACGTCACGGCATAGGCACATACGGGCATAATTCTGGACCTGAAATCTACCCTGGCTCAAAAATGGGGCTCAGAGACACTAGGCCTAGAGAACAGTGCAGGGTCGACCTGTAACCTCCAGATACTAACCAGACATAGCAGAGTCCACAGCCTGCCCCGCTGGGGGTCTCTCCCCCTTGTCCCTTCCTGTGGCCTCTCCTCCTCATTGTCCATCAGTCTTCCCTTTGCCACTGTCTCTCCATTTGCCCTTCCAATAAGCATTTATTAAGTGCCATATGGTGCCAGGTGTTGGAAACAGAGACAGGAACAGAGGGAGCCGCCTTCTCCCTGCCGCCGGGAGCTGACTCTTTACCCGGGATACAATGCCACAGATAAGAAAGTGTAAAGTGTATGCAAAGGCATTGGTAGGGTGCCAAAAGTGCCGAGGAGGAGGGCAGGTCACGGATAGGAAGGACACAGCATCCACGGATTCCCAAACAGCAGACCAAAAAAATGGCAGAAGGAGGAAGGGAACGAGTCCAGTTGTGGGGGTGTCTGTGCAAAGATGGGGGCGGTGTTGGGCAGGAGCACAGAGTGTATGGAAGGGCAGTGTGTGAGCCCGGCCTGGACCAAGGCTGAGGCCTCATCCTTCCCTAGGTCCCGAGGGCGAGCTCCTACCAGGGTTCTTGGTCTCCCACAAACAGAGCAAGCAAACACCAGCTCCAGGCCCTGCCCCTGTAAGTGCCAAGAATCTGAAAAAGAGGGGAGCAGCTGCCTCACCCTGAGCCAGAGAAGGAGGGACGGCACCCCCCCGCCCGAGCCGGCGAAGGAGAGATGGCCCCCCTGCCCGAGCTGGTGAAGCAGAGACAACCTGTGATGCTGGGGCATGGGGAACACGGCCCCAGTGTGAGAGAGAGTGTGAGCACACACCAAAACCTGTCCCTCCCAGTCCAGGGGAGCAGGCCCTGGGCATCTCTTTAGGACATGGTGGTAGCTCTTCAAGGGACATTCTCTCCCTCCCAAACAGGAAGAACAACACAGCACTTTCGTCGCCCATCACCCCATTTCACAGGTAGGAAACTGAGGCGCTCAAAGGTCATTGGCCTTTCCAAGGTCACTCAGCCTGGAAGTGTCCGAGGCTGCCAGGTGGGCGCTGGAGCAATCATCATTTATTAAGCCTCTGCTCTGTGCCAGTGGTGCCGTGGACACAAGAACAAAGAAGGAAGAAGACATGAGGACCTCTTCCTTGGGCAGGGGACGGGCTTTGTCGATTTTTTCTGAATGGAGCCAAGTCTCTGGTTCCCAAGTACAAAGTACTCAGAACCTGAGCTAAGGTGTCAAATCAAACTGTGCCAACACACTAGCTCCCTGAGCCCCAGGACCCAAGTGGGGACCCCCAGGAGCCTAAGAGGAAACACTACAGCCCGTGGGAGGAAGGGCCCAGACACAGCTCAGTCTCTAGAGGGGGGATCCCTAATGACAAAGGAAACCTGCCCACAGCATGCCCCCCCCACCGTTCCTCCAAGCCAGAGACTGAGTCCTACACTAGAGGAACCATTCTCCATCACCCATAGAAAGCTAAACCTGGGAAAATCTCAAACTCGGGGAGTTGGGGCTGTCCCTTCCCTTGCACACCTTCCCCAGTCACTGTCAGGGCATTCATTTGATTCGAGCCGCTAACAGCTCTGGGGAAAGGGAGGAGTCTAGACGTCTGGAGCCGAGGCACCAAACCCACCTCTCCACCGGAGAGCAAAGCAAACTCCTCGGGCAGCTGCTAAAGTTCCCAGGAGCCAAGCCTTGGAATAGGAGGGACCTCAGAAGGGGTCTCCTGCAGCTTCCTCCTTTTAGAGACATGGGAGCTATGGCCTCCAGGCATGAGCTGACCCAGTAACAAGCAGCAGTACTGAGACCTGAGCCCAGTTCCTTTGCCTGCAGATCTAACCCGTTCTTCCACCATGCCATCTCCTGTCCGGGGTGCATGAGCAGGGAGAGAGGACAAGCTCTGTTTCGCACGCTCTTATTTGGGAGGGAATATCAGATGGAGAGGGTGGAGAAGTCAGGCTAGAGGCGAAGCGATTCTGAAGATAGATAGAGGGATGACAAAATGGCGGTCAAGGATAAGTCCAAGGAGATGAGCACAGTTAACGAACAAGCATTCATTATGTGCCAGGCACTGAGCTGAGTGCTGGGGACACAAAGAGAGGCCAAAGCTAGTCCCTGACCTCAGGCCAGGAGCTTTCTGTCCACAACCAGGTACAGCCAAGGGAGAGGCAGAGCAGAGGAAAGACTCTCGGAGAGGAGGAGGCACTGGAAAAGGGGCAACGGGGATACCCAATGTGAATCTGAGCTAGCGGAGGAGGGCAGGCATCTAAGCCAACTCGAGGCCCAGGATGAAGATTCACAGAAGTGATCAGAACAGAAACACATTTGGCATAAATAATAACAATTAACCATACTGCATTTCCCCCATTGGGGTCATTCAGATGGCTCAATTTCTTTGCACAATAAATGACCTCCAGGTAGCAGATCCCTGATTAGAAAGTGCAGAAAGGAATGAACAGAAGAGCTCCAGAGCTTCGGTCAAACCCCAGCCACCGGCCCAGAGAGTCTCCAACCCACCCCAACCCCCTACCTCCAGGAGCAGCTCCTGTCCTGGGATGAGCTCAAAGACAGCTGGCAGGACTCCAAAGGGCGCCTGTTCCACAAAGCCAACATTAGCGACCGCCTGTGGAGAGTAAATCAGACGCTGACCCGGGAGGAGATGTCAGTCCTCCTCCTCCTTTTCCTCCTCTCCCCAACGCCATTTTGTTACTTTAATGCTGCCATTTCTTGGGACACTGATGTAAGCTAAAGGTTTCACAAGCACAGTCAGAGCTGCCTGGGTCCTTACCTAGACCAAGCCCCGTGGCCCAGGACAGCACTGGAGCGAGCCCTCACCCGAAACCAGGACCAGATGAAGCCCCAGGACAGCATGGGAATGAGCCCTCACCTGAAACCAGGAGGTGGCCAGGACCTGACCAAGCCCCGTGCCCCAGGAGGGCGCCAGAGCAAGCTCTCACCCTGAAACTAGGAGGCGGCCAGGACGACTTGGGCATGATGCAGAACCTGCCTGTGCTCAGCCCCACATTCTTGCAGATGAATCTAGTCACCTTGATTCCGCCAACGAGGCAGTAACCACAGTCTAAGGACAGAGCCACTGAAACAAGACAGACAGACATGAGGGTATGAACAGTTACGGTACCTGCCACCTAGGAATCAGCATGCATTGCCAAGGTACCTTCCTCATGCAATGAGACAGCAAAGGGCTGCGAGTCTAGCCCAGCAGCAGCCCCTAGGGAGAAAGGGAACCTCAGGAATACAGCTGGTTAGAAGGTTAAAGGAAAAGCTGCAGATACCAAGGGAAGAGCTGCTTGGCAAGATTTTGTACCAAGGACTGATCTCTGCCCCCATTTGTGTCAGATCCACTCTGAGACACCAGTATTTGGGGAGCCGGCCTATCAGCTGACCTAGGCCAGGAGGCGTTAATAAGTGGGGGGCACTTGGAGTACCTGGAAGAGGCCATTTCTTTATGTCCCTGATGGATGAGAAATGAGAACTCCAAAGTCCTAACTAAGGCAGAGTGAGCTTCGTCTACACTGAATTAAAGGAAGCCAAAGGGGCTGCCACCTGCAGGAACTGGTCCCCAGACCAACATTCCAAAGGGGACTGCACGTTCAGTCGAGAGGTGCCTCCATGGTACCCAGGCATGGTTCAGGCTAACTCCACAGGGAGGCATCTCTTACCTGAGCAGGGCCTCACCCCAGTTTATGCTAAAGAGTCGATTTTGGTAATAAGAATACAGGATTATAACTAGAGTCAAATCTCCAGGTAATGACTGGTGTTTTTTCCTTTGAATTAAGAGAGCTGGTGGGCCGTGGGGCTGACCTCTTTCCAGAGTCAATTATTCCAGAGCTGATTAAAATTACAAACACTAGCAAGAAGTCAATGTAACCCAACCTACATTTTTAAAGCATCTATAGTACAAGGTATCAACAGTAAAAGAACTGATAATGAAAAAAGAATTACTGTCCCCAAAAAATCACAGCAAGAAATGGAGCAATCTGATGTTTCGTGTGGGAGAAAATGTGAGTTGATTCTTAATTATCCCCATGAACTTCCTTCTTTTGTGAACTCCTTGTAACGAATTCTGAATCCTGGGCTCCCTTTTCTCCCTTTTCTGAGTTAGAGAGAATGGCAATCATTTGAAACTGCCTCAAGTAAAATAATTAGGAAGGCGTAAAATCTACTGCCAAACCACAAGTCAGATGGATTAAAAAAACCAAGTATAGACACTTTTTAGATTGTCTGTGCTGCTGGCCTCCATCAGTGGATGTAGCTTTGAAAAAAATGAAGGAGGCCAGGATCTGAGAAGCATTAACAATAAGGACAGACCCAGGAATAGATTCTTCCTTGCGACTTGGAAAAGAATACTGCTGCCTTTGAAAGAAATCCCCAATCTTTATACAGGTTTTCTTAGTAAATACATTTTGTGGTCCCTTTTGTCTTTACACTACAGTGATTTCACCCCCATTCCTGTCCCTCCCCACCCCTACCCCACCAAAGAAAAACAATTAAGTTCAAAGATAACCCGGTGATTGGACCTCTCATGATGTAGGCATTATTCTGCCCCCCCCATCCTCTTCCACGTATCTTCCATGGATACATGTGTGTATATATGTGTGTGTGTATGTGTGTGTGTGTGTGTGTGTGTGTATAGAGGTAGGTGTGTGTATACATATGTATACATATACACACACATATATATGTGTAGGTTTATATGTATATATATATAGTCTACATACAAATATGTGTGCATGACATATAAATGTACATGTATTCATAGATTTTTCTTGGTTCTGCTTGCTTTGCTCTGTATCAGTTCATGCAAATCTTCCCAGGTTTCTCTGACTCCTTCACATTTACCATTTCTCACTGCACAGACATGTTTTATGACATCCCTGCACCATCATTTGTTCAGCCACTCCTCAGTCAAAGGGCATGCCCTCTGTTGCTCAACAATCACCCGCCAGGGGCGATCTGGTGTCAGGGACAGCCTGCTGGGCTCAGAGTCAGGAAGAATTGGGTTCTGATCTACCAGCGACACTAGCTGTGGGGCCCAGGGCAGAACTCTTACCTGGGCTGGATGCTGGGTAATACCCCCTTCCCCTCTCTGTCGCTCTGACAACACCCTAGGACTTAGTAAGCACCACAGATTTAGAACTGGAAGGGACCTCGGCCCCCTCATTTTTCAGATATGGAAACAAAGTTCAGGGCAGAGCTGGGATCAGAATCCAGGGCCCAGGGCACCGTGCTGCTATCTACAGCACAGCCTGTCTGTGACCTGCTTTGCTAGAGGAAGCTCCCATCCCAGGCACCCTCTGGGAGGCTAGCATGTCTCCAACCTATCCCCTGCTTGCTTCCCCAGCACCCCACAGCTGATGGAATCCATACTAACGTGTCAATATTGGAGGTGATCTCCTGGCCTGTAAGGGGATCACAAGGGTGTGGGCCGCCTGAGTCTCCACTAAAATAAAATCGTCAAAATCTCCAAGGCTGTCAGGAGCAAAGCGCACTGTATACTGGCAGATCATCCCAGGGGCCACCAGTCCTCCTTTTCCTGGGAATTGTCCTGCCAAAGACAAGCAGTGGAATTTTCAGTTCCCCACACCAGGAGCTCGCAGGGATCAGGGCTCCATGATTCTGGAGAGGCGCCACGTGGACCCATGCATTCCTCAAAACAAACCGCCCAGAAGAAGTAGCTTCTGTTCCCAGGACAGATAGCTGGGACAGCTCAAGGGGCTGCTGGTCCAGGCATCCCCTGCCTGGGGGAGACAGAAGTGGGGGCATCAGAGGAGCCGACACTGCCCAGAGGAAGGCAGAAGGAACAAGTATTGATTAAGCCCTTTCTGTGAGCGTAGTAGGCACCGTGCTAAGGGCTTTCTCAATGACTGCACCCGGAATAATAATGTTACAGCTCAGGAAACTGAGGCAGACAGCAGGTGCTGCTCTGTTCCTCCCCAGGAAGGCCTCCTTCTCCCTCGGAGGCCCAACATGTGGCTGGCTGGCTGCCTGCTAACATGTTGGAAGGCAGGTTTTTAACCCTAAAACCTCTGCGCTGATGTTGAAAGGCCGCCCTGTGCTTTTGTTCCTGCCATTCTGAGCAATGCTCAGGGCTGATGTGTGCTACAGTAGTGTGGGCACAGTGGCTGGGCTTCAAGGACAGTACAAGGTGGGCAAGCCAGCCCAGAGCCCAGGTGCACTCAAGGAGAGCAGGGGCTGAAGAGCAAACTCACCCGGGCCTCGCCCGTCAGTAAACAGTCCATGACAACAGCCTTCTGACCTTGGGGGTCTGAAGCAGGGGACCAAAACTTTACCCCAGAGTGAGCTGGCTCGGGGTGGCCCCACCATCATGGGAGCGCTGATATCGATGGCTTTCAGTCACGGGGAAGCAGAAAAGTGTTTGCCCACTAACAAGGAAACAGAGCTAGGGTTAAGCCGCCACGAGATGTATGCACACTTACCTAGGCCCAGAGAAAAGTACGGCGTGGATGGAGGGAGGACTCTCAGGTGGCGGCTGGCGGACGTCACGTTCTGCAGCTCGAGCACGATCTGGGTTTATCATTTAAAGAACAAGGTGGAAATCAAAGGTTAGACTGAATCGGAACCCAACCCCTGCCATTTACAATCTAGGGGCACAGCTCAGAAACCAAACTGTCTGGCCTGAGTCAAGTGGCCTGTGCTTTCTGCTGGGCCCCCGTGGTTCCTGTCTGACCTCACGGGCCGAGGCCATTACCGAGACCCGTGATAATCATGGAGGGAAGCGCTTTCCCTGCAGTGAGCCACGAGTCATGACCGGGCCTTCGGGGCAGGGGCTGGGCCACAAACCCCTTCCATCTCCTGCCCTGGACTCCTTCTCTCTTCTCCTCATGTGGCTGTTCTCCCAGGCTCTGTACCCAACCACCTCCTGACACTCTCTCCTTTGGACATCTCACCCACCCCCCAGCTTCACTGGCCCTCTCCCTGCAGAGGACCTTGGCAAAGTTCTGTTCAAAGTCCGTCTACTCCTAGCTCCTGGGTAACTAGCCTTCCCTTGCATTCCCACTCCCAGTGGTTCTGCTTAACTGCCTGTGCCCGTCCACATCCCACAAGAAGAAATGGAATCTGCCAGGCAGGTGACCCCTCAGTGGCTGCCATCACCTCCCAAAGCCCTCCCTGTCCTCCAGGGTCACCGCCCTGTGCGGGCTTCCACCCACCCCGGCCCTCTCGGCCTCCGCTGCCCAGCCACACAGACCTCACCTCCCAGTCACACTAGACTTCATCTCCCCAGATCTTTGTTCGCTGGGCTCTATACTTCTCTATCAACCCAGGCCCAGCTCCAAGACAGCCTCCTTCCCCAAGCCTTCTGTGATCCCCATCCACCACTGCCTGCCCCAAGCACTTAGCCCCTGCCCCTGGGTAGGTCAGCTCTCCCCTGCTAGACTGTAAGTCCCTTGAGGACAGGATCCATTTCTCAGCCACTTTTGTAGGTGACACCCAGGACTTTGTACATTCCCAATCAGCATGCAGTGAACGAATGAGCAGATGACTTGCTCACTGCCCTGAACAACACGGTGCAGGGCTGTAAGCTAGGAATTTAGGGAAACTCTTCGGGAACCTCACCAGGTTTGGTTTGCCATCAAGTTCTTTTTTGGTTAAATCCTTTTACTGCGCACTGTACAGACTGGAGCTGCCTGCTCTTTGTCCTGCCCAAGCGAATCCCAATTCTAGTCTTCTGGGATCAAGGAACAAGTCTGCATTCACCACCCTCCTCCCATGCCCTCCTGTTCTGATGGACATCAGTCTGAGCTTTCTTTTTTCAAAACCAAAGAGTCCACCAAGAGACCCTTCCCCCCAGGCTGTCCCTTCCTGGGCCTCCTGCAACCTCTCCTGAGATACTCCATGGTGTGCAGAGAACACCAGGCAAGGCAGCACCGTGGTTCAGGACAAGAGGAGAAGGTCCTCCCTTGAGCTTCCTCAGCCTTTTGTCCTTGTCACCCCAGGCATCATTCAATGTCTGGATGTGTCTGGCTTCCCCCATCTGCGACCAACTATCAGAATAGCACGGCTTTGTGTGGCCTAAGCCAAAGGCTGTGAGTGCTAATGGTTAAGGAGGAGTCAGTAAGGAAGCAAATTTCTACCTCGTAAACTGGTCCAATTACATAATCAGTAAAAAAAGCCACTGATGGCTTAGCTAGAAACACCGGAGCATCATCAAAATTTCTGGAAGGAAACAGGAAAGAAAAAAAAAGGCCTGTTAGACACACACACACACACACACACACACGCACGCACGCGCGCGCGCCTGTGAATCTGCCCCCCAGGTGCTGCTCATGCCTCAAAGGGCAGCCAAAGCTTGCACTCCTCACCTCCAGCCATAGCCACTGCTCACCTCCCCCAGGTAGAGCATCTATTCTGTACCTGCTCATTTACACACATGAGCTTTCATTTTTGTCTCGTAAGCCTGGCACACCGTAGTGGCCAAATCAGTGCTTGCTGACTGGGAGAAGTGGTGTCAATGAGTTACTGGCGGAAAAACCAGGATTTCTGCTCATTTCCTGCTAACTGTCAGATTGGGAAGGGAATGAAGAGTCCTGCAGACCCACCAAGCTGAAGCACCGACAGGAGCAGGCACTGGGAGGGCCCCAGCACGCACTGAGAACACAAGGAAACAAACAGGGACCTCCCTTCCCTAACCGGAACCCAGTGCTGACCCAAAGAAGAAAGAGGGTCTCCAGATGGGCGGGGCTTCAGCCCCCCATCCCAGCTCTCTGCAGGGTTCCCACAGGCTGCTCAACAAATATCTGCTCTATGTCTGACTACTGGAGACCCCATTCCCAGACCCCTCCCCCGGCCCTGCCAAAGCAGAGCAAGGACACCCTGGGAGAGAAGAGAAGCTGTCAAGCCTTATTGTTCTTGGGGTTCACTTTTTGTGGACACATGCCTCCCAGACAAACCTCGCACTGAACTCCACACTGCGTTCGTCTCCCACTGCGCCTGTCTTCTTTAGAGGAAGGATGAGGGACTTGCCTCCACGCACAGTGTTGGGTGGGAAAAAGCGAGGGTTCTTGAGAAAACTGTGCTGGTTCTCCAATTTGGCAAGAAGCTGTCGCTCCTGCACCCTCTGGGCCGTGTTTGAGTGATTCATCCACATCTTATTCTTTGGAAAGTAACATTTCTGGGAAACAAGCAGAAGCATCTATTCAAAACTGGGGAGATGCTGCTCTGGGGTGCAGGCCCAGACTCAGAGCATACAAGAAAAAAGGAGGGCTGGGGCAGCTAGGGGGGTGCAGTAGATAGAGCACTGGCCCCAAAGTCAGGAGGACCTGAGTTCAAATCCAGCCTCAGACCAAACACTTGACACTTACTAGCTGTGTGACCCCAGGCAAGTCACTTAACCCCAACTGCCTAAAAAAAAAAAAAGAGGGCAGATGCAAAATTTCCTAGCTCCACCCCTCCCCCAAAGGCATGTGGGCTGGGGGTTCTGGCGCCTACCTTGACCACTTTGGGGGGCTTCACTTCCGGTGTCGAGCACTTCGTCAGGGTAGACAAGGACACTTCAGAAGGGATGGCGGGCAGCTTCTTCTTGCTGACCATCTCTGTGACCTGAACATTGCCTACGCGCCTACACTGTGCTGTTTGCTGCTAAAGGTCAGCTTGCAGTACTCTGGCTCATTGTCTCCTGTGGTTCAAAGGAAACCGAGGTTATCTCCAGGGGAAAGGACACAAGGAATTACCCCACCCACCAACCAGAAGGCCAGCGGCTCCCGCTCTCCCCCAAATGCTCTGCCACACATTGGTCCCGATGAAGTCATCGTGAATGCAGAATGGGAGGCCTGCTGGGAGGTTTCTCCATCATATGGGATGAAGTCCTGGGTTTAGGAAGCCTTGCATGGCCAAAGACTTCACAGAGTAGAAACCAAATTCCCAGCCTTGTTTTTGGCAATGATGTGATGATAAAGCACTGCCTCCCTTTGGAATGTTAAGAAAGACCGGGCATCCAGGGGACCACCATTTCTGGGCCACACATCACTGGACAATCAGGATTTCCTCTAGGGACAAACCAGAGAGGAATTCACAGCCAGAGCACTACTTCTGAGCTCCTGAATCAAATTCATCGCAGTAAACACAACTTAAGGAAAGACTGAAATACGTGACCCCTCTTTGCTCCTTTAGAGAAGTGGGGGACCATGGGTACAGAATACTACATAAACATTAGCCTTCTTTGACATATTGGTTAGTTTTGCTGAAAGTTCTCCCCTTTTTTAGTCTTTATTATAAGGGACAATCCTCTGGGAGGTAGCAGTGGTGAGGGGGGGGGCCAGAGTGGGAAATGTGGATGACCCCAGAACAAGAGATACAAGTAAAGTTGACTACAAACATCCAGGTAAGCATCCTGCCTGGATGCTCAGAAGGCGCTCGGTCTTCCCTGGAGGGGAAGGGGCTGGTTGGGGCAATGGGGGCAGAGGGTGTCTGTGGGAGGCCAGAGAGGGGATGGGGCGTGGAAGCATCCTCTGGGCATCCGAAGCGAAGCAGGGCGAGGATGAGTACTCACAAGAGAGAACCAAGAGAAGAGGGAAGTCAGTGACGAGGATGGGGGCAGTTGGGGCACAGAGAGGGGAGATCAAGGAAGCGGACTGTGACCCCGCCTTGGCAAGGCCCCGGGCACTCAGCGCCCCCTAGGAGAGCGTCAGCATCAAGCGGAATGGGGACCTGATCCGCCTGGACACCACTGATACAGGCAAACAGCCCGCTGTAACACCCAGACGCCCCTGACTCCAAGCCCAACATCTGCCCTGGCCGCAGCTCTGCAGTGCCCTGCCAAGACGCGGCGGCTCCTGGGCTGGCCCTGCTGCAGCCGTGGGGCTAGGACCACGTCCTTTCCTAAGCCCTCCCTGCGTGACTACGTTCCCACTGCCCCGGCCTCGTCTAAAACAAAGCACTCAGTGACCAGTGGAGAGGGTCAACACACGATGGGCGTGGGGAAGGAAATGTGCCTTCTGAAGAGCGATCTGAGCCCAGAAGGGACTGCCAGAGGGACCCAAGATGGAGAAAGAGCCCTCATCCTGAAGATCCTTGCCACCCCAGGCCCCAGGAGGAGCCAGGGACAGCCGGCTTTCCAAGTGTCCGGGCTGAACAGACTGGCCTGGCCCTGCAGGGGCCACAGGACCCAGCAGGACCGCACCTCACTTTGTCCTGTGGTGCTTGACCTGCTTAGAGCTCGCGCCCCTAGAGGGGCACCCCGCGTGGGACAAACACCACAAAGAAGGACATGCCCAGTGAGGACTCTAAGCCGCCAGGGAGCGCAGCAAGCTCCAAGCTCAAGCTGGATCCATAATGCGAGCTGGTATTTGGAAAGGAGAGAAGCATACCTTTGGGTGCTCGGGAGAAAGGCAGAGGGTCACGGACGTAATCACCAGGGCAAATCAAGCCGCTGTTCCTCAGCACCTCGCCGTCCACGCACCACCTGAAGGCCGACTTCACTGCACAGAAGGGGCAAGCAAACGGTTCACAGACAGTGAACACGTGAAGCTGATGCCAGAAAGCTGGGCTCGGTTTCCCCAGTGGGCAGACGTGCAATTCAGGCTCTTCTCAAGGGTCCTGCCACGTGCCCCGCCATCACCCTCCTCTGAGAACCGCCCCCGGCCGTGCCTCGACTCTCCTTTCCAAGCCTCCTCCGTCTTGGGGCCTTCCTTCTGGGACCACCCCCAACGTACCCAACCTGTCCTGTCTGTATACTGCCCCTACCCTGATCTGCTCCTCGGAGCGTGGCTGTCTTGGCTTTTCCTTTGTACCCCCAGGGCTCACATAGTGTCTGGCACCTAGGAGGAACCGACTTTCAGGTCAGTCCGATGGGGTAGGCAGGAAAAGAAGACAAGCAGCCCTTCCCTCTAGAAGCTTCCAGTCTAGCTGGGGGACAAATCTGACCATGAAAAACAAATGCAGCCCAGCCAGCCCTGAACTGTGGGACACTGATGAGATACCCAATGGGAGAAGAGGGGGACAAAAAGGCCTCCAGAGAGGTGGCGGCCTTGAGAACGCTCAGCCTCGGCCAGGGGAGGAGGGCACATCAGGCAGGCGAGCGCCACGGGCGCAGATCTGGAAGCAAAAATTGGCATAGCACTGGATGGGGCAGAGGCTGTTTACAATGCCAGTGAGAAGGAAGGGCGGCCAGCTGTGGAGGGCAGACAAATCACCCGAGGAAGTTGGCCCTGGAATGTAGATGGTGCCAAGAAAAAGAAGCCAGCCCCCCTGCAAATTCCGGCTGCGGCTTCCCATCGCGTTTACTGCTGCCCCAGGCCGGGAGTCAGCAGCGCTCTCCTAAACCACGGTAACAGGGTTTCTGCCCCCTCCCATACCTCCCTGACATCAATCATCCCCCTGACAGGAGTCCAGAACACACCATCCTCTCCTCAGAAACCTCCCGTGACTCTGCTGCCTGCAGGCCCCAGCCAGGATTCTCAGACGACTCTCCGCTCTTTTGTGGGTGTGAAGGGGCAGAGGACCCGGGCTAAGCTAGAGGGTGTCTGAGGAGGCCACCTGCAGCACAGAAAGCCGGGGGGCCTGCTGGGGTGGGGAAGTGGCAGCAGGACAAGGGGGAGTCCTCCTGGAGAGCCGGGGGCTAGATTAGGGGGCCCAATCGGGGCTTGTAGAAAGGCTGGCCGGCCAGCCTCAGATGGTGCTGCCGCATGTGTCAGCACAGCCAAGGTTCTGCCTTGGGCCACGCACAAAGTCAGGGTCCGGTCAGGGTCATTACTGTTGTCAGGGCGGTAGACAAAGGCACACTTGGCAGACCCCAAATGGAGATGACAGGGCCCGGGGGGCCAAAGACTGTCTGCTGGCCCCAAAAAGATTTTAATAGGCTAGAATGATGGGCCGACTGTCATCCAATCAAACCCAATGCGTGTTCTCTCATGTCCTTGAATTTAAAAACAATAGCTAACATTTATATAGCACCGACTATGTGCCAGGCACTGTGCTAAGCACTTTATAACCGCTATCTCATTTGACCCTCATAACAACCTTGGGAGGCAGGTGTTAGTATTGTCATCCCCATTTCAGATACGGAAACTGAGGCAAGCAGAGGTGAAGTCACCTGCCTAGGGTCACACAGCTAGCGAGTGTCTGAGGCCAGATCTGCCTCTGGGCCCAGGGCTCTATCCCTTCTGCCACCCTGCTGCGCCATGTACTAAAGTCAACTGTACAAGTATAATATGGGGGACACATGGGGGCCCAGATGGACAACAATGTGGCTGCAGCAGAAAAGCGGACATATCACCACAGTGACAGAAACATCGGGCCCCAAGGACGGCTCTCGCTGCCCTCGGCCCTGCCCTGCTCAGATCGCCTCCAGCTGGTGCAGCCACCATGCTTTAGGAAGGACATCGATGCACTGGCTGTGTCCAGAGGAGGCTGACCATGACGGTGAAGGCTCTCAAGGCCAGGACCCTAGGAAGCCCCGTGACAAGAGTCAGGGAGGACAGAGCACTGATGGGGATGTGTGGTAGAGCTCTTCAAAGGCCTCCCATTAAGGGTTAAGACCTGTCCTGCTTGGACCAGAGTCACAAGGCAGTCGATTTCTACTCGATCTCAGAGAAAACTTCTGAAAAGCCTGAGCTGTCCTGTCCAAAGGTAGACAGGGCTGTCCCCGGAGGTGGAGGCCTGCTCAGGCCCTGACCAGACCGCATAGCTTTGCTGGCCCCTTCTGAGCCTGGGCTTTGGGGACTCCAAGAAGACCCCAGGAAGGACAGAGGCGCCCTTGGATTCCACTTAAATCCTGCCACGGGTCCAGCTCTGCACCTTTGCACGAGGGCAGGCACAGGGTCCTTACCTGGAGGCAAGCAGACGGTACCAAATCCCTGGGCCTTGATGTTGTTCAGGACCCTTTCTTCTTCCGCCAAGGCCCGAGCCCGGGCCTGAATGATGTGCCTCTCAATGATGTCTGTGTCTGCCAACTTCTGGGTGTACTCATCTCGAAGCTGGCACAAGACAAGGAGTAGGACAGAGACAGTGATGCTGACCTCGCTTTGCCTCCCTGACTCAGCCCAAGAGGCCCATGCACAGCCTTGCCAGGCTATCTAGTCTAGCCCCACGTGTCCCCAGATAAGCAGCCCTGCTCCACGATTGCCAGTGTCAGTGCCAGCTGAAGATCCCCGCTGAGCAGTCAGCCATTTTTCCTGGGCAGCCCACTCTGCTCTGGGACAGTACCATGTGCATTGCTAACCCCCCCCCATTAGTACCAGCTCTGCCCTCTGGGGCCAAGAAAAGCATTCTGTCTTGTAGAGCAGAGGTGTCGTACTCAAGGAAATGGGACCTCTCAACTGCACACAGAGTGACTTAGAAGTCCACAAACTGGCATCACCTATGTGTTCCTATATCTATTTATTTTCTCAGATCTTCCCAATGACATTGCATCGAGGTTGGCAGCACTCTGGTGTTTGACAGCTCTGGCTCTGCCCAATGGTACGCCCAACGCTTTTCTTCTTCAGGCCAACCATCGCCTCCCCCGGTTCAGAAAGGGCAGGATGCATGCCCCCAGCGGCCTTCCTTCTCTCAGAGTTCCCCCATCTTGTACCTGCGAGCTTGACTTTCAAACTCGAGTGTATGACTTGCGCCACCTCTGTTCCATTTTGTCTCATTAGGCTTGGCACAACATTCCAGCCAGGCTGCCTAGAACCTGTGGGCTCTGGATTGAAAGAAGTGTCCCCTGCTTAACAAACAGGTCAGTGACAAGGCTAGAGAGGGGTAACTAAGTCAAAAGAAGAGCCCCAAAGTCTGGGAGGAGAGGCCAAGGCTAAAAAGAGGAAATATATTGCATGAGGGTGAACAGAAAGTCCTGCCCTGGAGTTAAAACCTTGTGTTCACAAGTACAGAGGTGGGAGATATGGGAAAGCAACTGGCGTGAAAAAGCTATTGGGGTCCCAGTGGACCACATCAAAAGCTTAAGATGATCTTTGACTGCCTTAATACAAGCAGAGACTGAAGAGACTAATCATGACAACTCCCTCCAACAGATTCATGAAGAAATGATAAAATAATCACAGGATACTTAAAGATTCAATAGAACATAAAAATTAAATTGAAAACCCAAAGGATACCTCCAAGTGACAGCTGGTGGTGAGTGGGGAGCTCTAGATATAAATCTAAACCAAAGAAACCGAGGCTGGACGCTCCTGCCAGGAGCAAAGGCAAAAAATCTGAACAGAAACAGAAACATGACAGATCAAAGGAGAAAAGAACCCCCAGGTCGGTGGGACACCAGGCAAGGTCCCCGCACCGCCGGGGGCCCAGGGCCCTTGGCATGGCTTCTGCACCGAGGTTCTGACAACAGCAGATGCTTCCAGTTACCCTCTGAGAGGCAGCCTGGTCTAGGGAAAGAGGCCACAGCCCTGGGTGTGAATCCTGCCTCCAACAAGGACCAGCCCTCTGAACCAGCCCCCTCTCCTCTTACACTCAGGCGCCACCCTGCCACCTGGTGTACGAGGCAGGGAGGGCCACAGAGACCTGGCAGTAGAAAAGGGAGCCCGGAGGCTCTGGATACCAGTCAGACACACCCCAGAGGAGGGCTCTACACCGCTCTCCCCTCCAGGGAACAGGACCTGGCTCGAAAACCAGTCACCAATCAAAGGCATCAAAGTGCTGCTATGGCCAGAACATTTCTGAGGCCCAGGCTTCTGAGCCAGAGGTTCTCTGGCCACCCGGTAAAGGACTCTTAGGCTCACCTAGTTAATCCATCAGCAGGCCCAGAAGGGCTGAGCTCTACTCCAGAACCAGTCCCTCCCTCTCCGGGCCCCCAGGCCTGGAAGGTGTTCCCCACTACCACAGGAAGCCTTCCCCAAGCCCTCTGTGTCTTGGGGCCTTCTCTCCACTAATTATCTCCTCCTTGGACTGCCCAGAGCTTTGCTTTGTATCGATGTGTTTGCACGTTCTCTCTTCCCTGAGATTGTGAGCTCCTTGTGGGCAGGGAATCTGTTGCCTCTTTCTGCATCCCCAGCCCTTAGCACAGTGCCTGGCACACATGAGGCGCTTAATCAGTGTTGACTGATCAATCCATTGAGAACTGATGAAAAGTATGGTTCTTCACATGACTTCACCCATACAGAGTTGTGAATGTCTCATCCTAACTGTGTTTGTTGCTTGTTATGTTCAAAAGTGAATTTAAAAAAGGAAGCTCCTTGGCTGTCGGCTGGCTTGCCGAACAGCCCCGGTGCCATGGAGAGAACCAAGTGTTTCTCCCTTTACCTTCTGCAGCTCCTCCACAAGCTTCTCATGGTGGGTGTTTTCTCCGCCCCGGGATCTGATGAAGTTCATCCCTATGTCTTCTCCTATCACGTCCAGAGTGTACAGGTTCTTGAAGAGGCTGGTCAGCAGGTATGAGATGTCCTGTGCCAAGGAAGAGGGGTTGTCTGAGAGGGGAGCTGGGTCAGCCCCCGGGGGCTGCACCCAGTCTCTCTCTGCCCATTTGCGGGCCAGCAACCCATGAGAGCCCTCCCTGCCTGCCTCCCGCCTGCTCAGCTTTCTAGTAGACCTTTCCACATCTCACATGTCAGGGAGGGACAGCTGGGGGACAGCAGCACCCAAGTCAGTTTTCTCTGAATCCCCAGGAAGACACTGACCTCTCATCACTATGGACACAGCAGGGAAGGGAGGGAGAGAAAAGGGGGGGGGAGAGGGCTCCCAAACGAGAGGGTGGACGGAGTAAACAAAGTGAGTGACCACAAGGAGCCAAGAGGGAGAGAATGAATGAGTGAATGACTGAACCAAATGGACAGATGAAAGAATGAAGACGAATGTACAACCAAGTGGAGGAGTGTGGGAATGAATTAATGAACAAAAAGAGGGAAGGAGAGAGGACGTATGAATGAACAAATGGAAGGAAGCAAACTGATGAATGAACTAAAGAACAAGGGAATGAATGAATGGAGTTAAACAACTGAACAGACAGGAGAGACGAAGGAAGGCAGGAAAGAAGGATGCAGAGAGGAAGGGAAGAAGGAAAGAAGGAAGGTAGGGGAGGGGAGGGAGAGGGGAAGGGAGAGGGGAGGGCGGAGGTAGGCAGGCTGGAGGGAAGGCCCTGCCCCCACCTGGCTCTGCAGGGAGGTGGGCCTCAGTCTCAGCAGGGGGGGGCTCGGGCGTCAGCTCCACGGATTCCCCGCAGCCGCTTTCGCCCCGGGGCTGACTCCGGTCGCTGCCGCCTCCGCGGAAGCTCAGCCTGCCATCCGGCTCCAGCTGGGGCTCGGGCTGGGGCTCGGGCTCGGGCTCCGGCTGCACCACGGACGGCGAGGCCATCTCCACCCGCGCCTCCCCGGGCGGCGATCCCAGGGGCTGCGTGCTGGTCTGAGCCCTCTGGGGTGCCAGGGACGCCAAGCTCCCGGTCTCCATGGCGACAACCGACGCGCCGAGGCCGCTTCCGGCCCCGTCCCTTCAGTCCGCTCCCGCCCTCCTCCTGACAGCTTTCCGCCCAGCGGCGGCCCTCCCTCTCAGCCCGCGCCCCGCCCCACTTCCGGCCCTGCTTCTTCCTTGCCTCTCAAGTCGCTGCCCCGCCCCGCTTCCGGTCCCGCCTTTCCCTCACCGCCTACTAGGCCCAAGCTTCCGGCCCAGCCCCTTCTCTCGACCAGTTCACGGCTCCACCTTCGCCCGTGCCCGTATCGCCACGCCTCCTCCCTCAACCAGTCCTCCTTCCACCCTCTCCCCCCGCCCCCCGCCTAGTTTCTGGCCCCGCCCCCTGTCCCTTTTCTGCCCTGCCCTCCTCTTCCCTCCCAGCCTTCCTGCGCACGTGGCTCCGGGGGAGCCCTGCTGCGGGCTGGCCACCAGAGGGCGCCATAGTCCGAGGACGCTGGGGCGGGCCCAGGAGCAGGGCGTGGGCTCTGGGTCCGGGCTGGGCCCCAGTCCCGGGCGCAGCTGCGGGAGCCACGGAGCTTGGAAGCTCTTTACAGGCCGCTAGAGGGCGCCAGAGTCCACAGAGCGCTGAGCCTGGAGCCAGGAAGACCTGAGTTCAAATGCAACTTCGGAAACTATGTGTGACCCCGAGCAAGTCATTCACCGCTGCCTGCCTCAGATTCCTCAAAAAGGGAACAGTCACAACCCCTCCCGCACAGGGCTGTTGTGAGGATAAAAGGAGATAGCAATTGTAAAGTGCTGAGCCCAGCGCCTGGTACACAGTAGGAGCTGTATAAATGCTTGCTCCTTTCTTCTCCAAGACTATAAATCTGACGGCCTTCAGGAGGCCTTTCTGCAGGATTATTCCTTCTGAGAGCCCTTCACTATGCTCCCGGGTCTCCCAAGTAAGTGAAAATCAGCTAGCCAGCACTTATTAATCACTTACTGTATGCCAGGTACTGTGGCAGGTGAAATCCCTGTCTCTGTCTCCAGGGAGTTCCCGTTCTAAGGGGGGACCACGGGCGAACAGGCCTGGAGCACGCTGTCCTGGAGGGCAGGCCAGAAAACAAGGGCTCAGAGACGCCCGTCCCTGCAGGAAGGAGCAGCCCGGAGGCCGGTGCTCTGGGAGGCAAAGTGTACAAGGGGAGTCACCAGGGGCCGGGGGTGAAAGGCCTTAGGGAGCCACGGAGTCTGCAGAGATGGGGAGGCGGAGGGACCCCTTCCTGGACAGTGGGCCCAGTCTGCGGCCCCAGCCCGCTGCCTGGGGAAAGATGGCAAAGCCGAAGGACTTTGACCAGGCAAACCCTTGGAGCAGGGCAGTGGCCGAGCCTGGGGCTGCCTCCTGACACAGCTGCCCTGCGAGTTCGGGGTTTGACTCTACCTGTCACCAGCAGGAGCGTCCTTTTTAATGTTCCCCAAGGGGCCGGGGGAGGTTAAGACAATGGTTTGTTAATTGAAAATAAATGCTGACTGACTGAAACCTCCAGAATTGTGTGTAAGCCCTTGAGTCACCATATTAACATGAGCCGCTCTGCTGATCCTCACAAGGCAGAGGCTGAGAGGGGAGCAAAGGGCATAGCCGAAGTGCCCTTAATACATGCTGATTGACTGGCTGAACCATCCTGGGTTCAGGCCCTCGGAGCAGAAGAGGTTTCGTTAACTACTGGCCTAACCTGGGGGAGGGGTAATGGTGTGTGGTGGGGGGTGCCCTTTCATAGGCTAGCGTTAATGCCTCCAGTCCCAGCCAGCATGAGAGAAACTGAGAACTCATCAAACGTTCATTAAATACCTGCTGTATGCAAATCACTGTGCTGAGCGATGGAGACACAAGGAAATGCTTCACAGGCTTGAGACAGAAAAATAAATACTTCTACGGAGCCCCCTGTGGCAGAGGCTCCTTCCTGACACAAAAGGCACATTTTGGAAGACTTCTCACTTCTCCGGCTCATGGCTCCACACAGAAATTCTGAGAACTTTATCCCAAGAGTATGATCACCTGCTCCCCTTCAGAGCACCTTGGCTCACGAGGCACAAAGCAGAGACCAATTCATTTACCGGCAAAGGGAGACCGATAGGACTCATCTCAGCGCCCATAGAAGATAACAGCACCCCATAAGGAGTAACATCCCGTCTCACCTTTCCCTCCGCCCCCCAGGGCTCTACAGACTCTTCCAGGCTTGGGAGGTTTCACTTGTCCCAGGAAGCTGCTCCCCTCACAGCCTGGAGCCCACCCGTTCCTTCCTCTGCTCCCCAAGCAGGGGGCGGCAGAACGGGGCTGTCTCCAGTCATCCAGATCCATATCTGGCCACCTGCTCGATGGCTCCGGAGGAAAGAGTGAGGCAGGTGGCTGTGCCCAGCCCTGCCTCGCTTAAATCCGGTTCACTTGCATGTCATGGCATCCCCTCCCTGATGTCAGCGTCCTCTTACAGAAGGAAGGACAAACAACAGCCGCAACCCAGAATAGCTGGCCACCTGCCCCCCAGCTTGGAGGCACACTTAGGGCACCTCCCCTCCTCACACCTTCTCTTGTGCTGTGGTTCATTCAGCTCCAGGCCGCCTCCCGGGGGCAGGAGCCCATGTCCCTGGGGGCTGCCCTCTCTCTCAAATCACATATGGACTCAGGGGACCTTCTCCCCGTCTGAGTCCTGTTTCCCTCAGCACCCTGGGCAGCGTGCCTCTGGACTGCCTCAGTGGGCCCCAAGGATGGGAGGAGCACCCTGTCTCTCCCCCATTGCCTCTCCTCTGGGGCATCGGGCATTTCATTTACCTGGTGTTGCTAAGGGGGGCCAGGGTAGACATAGTGTTACCATGCACCAGAGAGGGGGAAATTTGTAGTACCACCCCCACACTACAGATGATAAATTCAGAGGAAAAGAACAAACAGCAAAGAATGGAGGCATTTCAGAAGGCGTCTTTCTTCACTGGGATCAGTTTCCAATCTGCACAATGGGTTCCCAGGGACATGCACAGGAAATGGAAGTCGGGGCAAGTAAAGGAGGACAGATACATGTGCGTGTCGGAAAGTGTCACATGTGCTGAAGCCTCCATGAGTGAGGGCTGGCAATGAGCATGAAGGAGAGTAAAAATGATGCTTCGCATGAGAGGACGGTTCAAAAGAAGGGAGGAGACGGGCCCGGGATCAACACATCAGGAAAACGATGTGCCGTCCAGCTCTCATTTTGCTTCTGTTTTCTCCTCCAAAGAAAATGATCTTTCAGTTGGAAAGGAGAGACCAGAAATGCCTAGCGGGGGTGGGGGGTGGGGGGTGGAAAGCACAGGACCAGATGCACTGGTAAGAGAGCACCTACCTGCCCTGGCTGAGTTCCAGTCACCAAGCACGCTAGCGCCATTTCAGGACGTGGAAAAAACAGAGCTGCTTTGGGGGCCCTTTGGAGAGTTCGTGAAGAGTGGGAGCCCAGCTATGGGCCTGGAGAAGAGCAAAAGTCAGGGGTAGGGAGAGCAAAGTCTGGAAACCGTAAGCTCGACTGCATTTCCCGGCAAAATGCTACAAAAAAATCCCACTAAAGGAAGGGCCAGTGAGCATTTAGAAGGAGGAACGTGATGACAGAGTGGGACAGAGGCACTTCCTCTGGGATGGGTCAAGGTGACCCGGCGTGGGCAGTGTGGTAGACAGGCTTTACCTTGGTGGTCTCTCAGGACCAGGTAGGGAGGTGGAGGCAGGGCGCCAGGGCCTCCCAGTGGATTCAGGCCTGGGTGGATGGACGGACCCAGAGGAGTCAATAATTGCTCCGTCTTGTCTCGGAGGAAGGACTCCCCTGGAATACCTTGGGGACCTGTGCTCGGCCCCCTGTGGTCTGACATTTCTATCGACAACTTGGGTAGTGGGACACTGGCTGTGAAACAGGCCAAGATCTGCATCATTCAGAGCAGATGCAGAAATTCTCTGTCTGCTTCCAATCCAGCCGTGTGGGAGGTAAGGGGCACCCTGGAGGCCAGGGATGACTCAATGAGTAGTAAAGTCTTCTGGCTGGTGGAAGCCTCCGAAGGGAAAATGCTCAGCATTGGGTGGTGGCATGGGCCAGGAACAGCCAGGGGGCCAGGGTCGCTGGAGCCAGAGTATATGGATGGGAGACAGGTGTAAGAAGGAACTGCAAAGGCAAGCCGGGTGGGGACACATGACTGGAACTGCAGCCTCCATGGCCATGCCAATCCACTGCTCACTACTTCAGTGGGCTGCCCCTTCTCCCCGTTAGGAGGTCATCCTGCCTGGCAGGTGGCCTCGGGGGCTCAGGACACCCATGTTGGCACCTTCCCTGTGCGTGTGCAGTACACGTGTGTGTACACGTATGTGTGCATGTGTGCCTGCCTGTGCAAATCTCAGACCAGGCTGTCAGCTACCTTACCTGGGGCTCTTCCTCCTGAGTCCCTAAATGCACAGCTGAGGCAGCCGCCAGGTGTGCCGCTGTGGACACCCAGGAGTCAGACTTTGGCTCCCTGGGGTCCTTGAGGGATGGGGGTGGGAGGAGAAGGGTCGATTGGGATAATACTAGGCCTCTAGTGCCCCCCCCCACGTGGATGTCTGTCTTCCCCACCACACCCTCAAGCCCTCCTCAAAGGTGACTTGGTGCAGAAAGAGAGAGGCCAGGTCTGTTGGGCCGGGGAATGGCTGCTTGCTGGTTGTGCGGGGAGGGAGCTGCCCCTGCCTCAACCATGAAGCATATTTTTCAGACCCGAGGGCGGAGCGGTCATCTGTGACCCCAGGCCTCAGGACCGCCTCTTGCCTTTTCTCCCTCCACCCTCTTCCCATTTCTGTTAAGTCCTAATTTTGTCTTCAAGTCCTTGGGGGCCTTTCACGTGGAAGAGGCATCGGATGTGGCCCAGGAGACTGAAGCAAGAGCCGCAAAGAGCCAGCCAGACCTCCTCCTGAGAGTGGGCAGTGCCCCTCCACCGTCAGAGGCTTCTGGAGCAGACTGCACCATGTGCTCTTGGGGATGAGAAGGCTCTCCTGCTCAGGGACGCATTTACAGGAAGGCCTTCTGAAGCTCCTGGAGATCTCTGGGCTTGGACGGTCACCTCCCAGGGTGCTAAGGGCCTGGGGGCTGGCAGCTTCACCCTGGGCTTCCCTGGGGCACTGGTGCTCACTCATCCAAGAGAGTCCATAATGGGAACACTTCTGGGTGGAGAGGGAGGGCCCTGGGGCCCTCAGCGAGGGGTGCACCCACAGTCTCCTGCCCAGCCCTGTCCACAGCCACATTGAGGAATTCTAGGCTTGGCTTGGTCAAAGAAATACTGATGACAGTGATTTACCTAACCACAAACCATATACGCCTCCTCCCTTGGGCATCAGAAAACTGCTGATTCTAAAGGATCAGAGGCTGAGAGGGCACTAGAGATCCCTTGGCCAACGCTTTGGTTTTATAGAGAAGATGAGGGGGATGCCGAGGCAGTTGGTGGACCCCCAGGGACTAAGTGGAAGGGCTGAGACTTGAACTCCAGACCCAGGATTCTCTCCGCTGTGCCAAGGGTCTGTTCAGAATCCAGTCAAGAGCGCAAAGTCATCTAGGAAGTGCCTTCTCTGGGCCCAGCCCACGCTGGGGAGGCCTCTGAAGGAGAGAAGGGGTAGTGGGGTTCCTGAAGAGGGGAATCTTTCCTCATGAACTGCCAGCCCCCCAGGTGGCAAGAAGACTGCCTTCGAGTGCAGGCCACACTGGGACCACACCATGCCCAGCACTAAACCGGGATGGAGAGAGAATGTGCTCGGAAAAGTGATGCGAGGCCAGTCTCTGCGGCCGAGACTAGAACCAAAGCACTGGGGGGCACCACGCGCGCAGAACCGGGCCCGTGGCCAGGAAGCCAAGGCTGGAGTCCAGCCGCAGACTCTTACGCGCTCTGGGACCCCGGCAAGTCTGCCTCAGTCTCCTCAACTGTGGAATGGGGTCGTACCAGCACCTGCTTCTCAGGTTGTTGTGTGGATCAGATGGGAGGATGTTTGTTGAGCGCTTCACACGGTGCCTGGCAAACAGGAGATGGAATGTAAATGCTAGTAGCAGTATGACTGTTACCAGGCAGGTCTAAGGAGCACGGCACAAGAGTGCTCCCACAGCGGGGCCTGGGAGACAGACACAATTGCTCTGTCGGCACCTTTTGTGCTGCGGCCCAATTCGGGAAAGACCCAAAAGTGTGCCGGGTCCAGCCGGAGCAGAAAGAAATGGGGTCAGCAGGGCAGAGCATCTGCTTCTCCGGTCCCACACCGGCCGGCCCTTGGCTCTGGATGTGGCAGATTGAAGTGTGTGTGTGTGGGGGGGAGGCACATGCATGTGGTGTGTGCTCGTGTGTGGTGTGTTGTATGTGTGTGGTACGCGCATGTGCGTGGTGTGAAGCGTGTGCACGTATGTGTATATATGTGTACATGCATGTGCACATGTGTGCTGTGTGTGTGTGTGTGTGTGTGTGTGTGTGTGTGTGTGTGTGTGTGTGTGTGTGTGTACGCGAATGCTTGGGGCTGCTGGGAAAGGCCTCAGTCCAAGTGTCTTGAAGGCAGCTGGGAAGCCTGGATGTGAGTGGAGGAGGGAGATGGAGGCAGGAGGGACAGCCAGTAATTAGACAGTTAGGGGAGGGAGGCTTATGTAGAAGAGGGTGTGGAGGCCTGTGGAGAGGGGTGAGCACCATTGGAGAAGCCTGGAAAGGTGGGAGGGGGAGGTTAGGGCAACTTTAAAAGCCAAACAGGACTTTGGTTTTGATCCCGGAGATCACAGGTGAGTCGTTTTTCATTTGCCTCTGACTCTTCCTGGCCCCATTTGAGGTTTTCTTGGCAGAGACAGCAGATATTATATAAATGCTAGCTATAATTGTTACTACTACTGGGCTAGTCTGAAAGAACATGGTACAGGGGGTGTTCCCACAGTGGAGCTTTTACCATTTTCTTCTTCTGCTCATTTTATAAATGAGGAAACTGAGGCAAACAGGGTGAAGTGACCTGACCAGGATCACATAGCTGGTAAGCGCCTGAGGCTGGATTTGAACTCGGGAAGAGGAGCCTTCCTGCCTCCAGGCCTGGCACTCTATCCACTGTGCCACCTAGCTGCCCTTCTCAGTGTGCAGTCTGAATTTAAACAGACCTCTCAGCCCCAGATCCAGCCCAAGACCTTCTTCTCACCTGCTTGTCCAGGATCCAGGACCCGAGACTCCCCTGGGAATTCCACTGGCCTGTCCCTGCAGTCCGTAGGGGAAGTCCAGTCTGTGGCCATGGGGTGGAGGCCTGGCCAGCACCGGTGGAGAGAAGCCAGGCGCTGGAGACTCTACGGGTCCTGAGTGTCCTCGGGCCCCTTCTCTTTCACTCCCCAAACCCAGGCGTCCTCGCCCTCCTCCGGGTCTGAGTGATCGCCCCTCCCAACGCTAGGGCTGCCAGCCCCAGGGGAGCCGCACACAGACCAGGTGGATCCAGGGTGCCCTGTAAGGGCCGGCCCCTCCAGTGCCCAGAAGCCTGGCCCTTCTCAACACCAACTGGCTGAGTAACAGCTCCCTGCCCCCCCAAGGCCAGAGAGGGGAATGAGGGTCACTTCCCGGGCAGGTCAGCTGCACATCGCATCCCCCCCCCAGGACAAACGGCAATCCCCTCAAGATCCCCTGGCCGGACAGAACACCCAAACTCCTCGGCCAGCTGGGCTCTTTCTCCAGCAGGTGACATGTTGGGAACCTGGATTTCCAGGGCCTGTGCTTTGGGAGAGAAGCTAGAAGCAGGAAGAAGCAGCCTTATCCCCCAGCCCCCAAGCAGAAGGCAGGTGGGCTGGGCCAGGGGCCCCGACTCTTGCTGGTCAAGGAGGCCGGGCCAGGAGAGCCGTTGCCCGGAGCTGGCACCCCAGGAGCCCACCTGGCTTCTGCCTAAGGCACTTCCCTTCACTTGACTGTTCAAGAGGGGGCTGCTTCCTTCTTGCAATTCCGTGAAGCCGGTAAACGCTTTCTCTTCCCCTTGGGAATGGCCTGAGCTCAGAGGGAGGAGAAACTGATGATGTAGCCTCTGTAGTGGGCAGCCGGTGAGTAGCCTGGCCCTTCTTCTAGTCCCAGAGATGTAGGCCCCCACCGGGTCCCTCACTGACCTTTCACTGCTATCACTTTATGTGCCCCTCCCCGTATAAAGGAAAGTGGCCCCTAAAACTCTGCCTGTTTAGATGAATGCTGACACAGGTAAGGGCTTGGGGAGAGGTTTGGCAGCATGGGAGCCACGGCCACAAGGCTGAAGCAGCAGAGCTTGGTCCGGGGAAGCTGTAAAGGAAATGGAGACACGGGAAAGACACAGCCTTGCTGCCCCTCTCCTGACACCTGGCCAAGAAAGCCCAGGATCCCCTAAAGGGGAGAACCTTCAAGCAGAGAGAGGTATTGATTACAGAGGGTGGAGCAGAGATAAGGCCAGGAGACAAAAATCGAGCCTTTCACCAAAGCATTCCTTCAATTCCTTACAGCCAGGGGGTGGGGGTGGGGTGGGGGGGTGGGGGGGAGGGGCACGGCTGCTCACACCTGAACTTAGGGTCACAGTTTAGGAGCTTCTGCCTACAACTCCCAGTTCTCATGATGGGTTTCAAGTAAATGAAAAATCACATTCTTCCTCAAAACATTGCCTCCCCTGGGTCAAAAACAAGTGTTATACCTCAAAAGAGGATAGAGAGAGGGAGAGGGAGAGGAATGGAGAGGGAGAGGGAGGGAGAGGGAGGGGAGGGGAAGGGAGGGGAGGGGAGAGGAGGGGAGGGAAGAGATTTAAGTCCTGAAAAGTAGAACCAAAAATTTCTTTCCAAAATAAGTCTAAGCAGATTTTAATAGAAAGTGGTTAATCTGGTCACTGTCATTCAGCTGGAAAGGACCAGGGGACCATGAGTCCAGCCCTCTCTTTTATTTTTGCTTTCATTTTTTTTTTCAATCAACAAAAATTCTCCTTCTTCCCCTCCCACCTCACCCCCTACCTGTACTCCATTGAGAAATATAAGAAGGGAGGAAGGAAGGAAGGAAGGAAGGAAGGAAGGAAGGAAGGAAGGAAGAAAGAAAGAAAGAAAGAAAGAAAGAAAGAAAGAAAGAAAGAAAGAAAGAAAGAAAGAAAGAAAGAAAGAAAGAAAGAAAGAGAAAGAAAGGAAGGAAGGAAGATGAAGGAAGGAAGGGAGGGAGGGAGGGAGGAAGGAAGGAAGGGAGGGAGGGAGGAAGGAAGGAAGGGAGGGAGGGAGGAAGGAAGGATGGAAGGGAGGGAGGAGGAAGGGAGGGAGGGAGGGAGAGAACACCTTCCGAGTCAAGCAAAGCGCCTCTGCCACTGGCCGTCCGTGCCCTGGGGTCTGTCGCCTCTGTCAGGAGATGGGCAGGGGGCTTCCCCAGGAGCTGGAGTGCTGGCTGATTATTGCGTCGGCCAGGGTTGACCCGCTGGTGAGATTGCACCAGTTGTCCTCGTGGCTCGGCCACTTCCCTCTGCATCAGTTCATCCAAGTCTTCCCAGGTTTCTCTGAAACTGTCCCCCTCGTTATGTCACTGGATCCTCACAATAATCCTGGGAGATAGATGCTGTCATCCCCATTTTACAGATGAGAAACCAAGGCAAGCAGAGATGAAGTGACTTGCCCAGGGTCACACAGTTAGTACGTGTTATGTGTCTGAGGCTGGATTTGAACTCAGGTCTTCCTGACTCCAGGCCCAGGGCTCTATCCACCCAGCTGACCTTTTTGTAGTCTAATACAGATGTTGTATTACAGGGTCAGCTGGGCAGTGCCAAGTGGATAGAGTCACCGGCCTGGAGTCAGGGAGACACATCTTCCTGAGTTCAAATCTCCCTCAGGTGCTAGCTGTGTGACCCTGGGCGAGTCACTTCACCCTGTTTGCCTCAGTTTCCTCATCTATAAAATGAGTTGGAGAAGGAAATGGCAGCATCTCTGCCAAGGAAACCTCAAATGGGGTCCCGGACAGTCAGACACAAACAAACAGCAACCCCCTCATTTTACAGACGAAGAAACTGAGGTGCGGAAAAGTAAAGTGACTTGTCCAGGGTCACACAGATAGTTTCTGTCCCCAAAGCCTCTCAGGTGTGAGTTGACAGAAAATATGGAACAACCTTTTCCTTCCTCTTCATTTAAAAAGTTATCCCCAGGGGCAGCTAGCTGGCACAGTGGATAGAGCACCGGCCCTGAAGTCAGGAGGACCTGAGTTCAAACCCGGCCTCAGACCAAACACTTTATACTTACTAGCTGTGTGACCCTGGGCAAGTCACTTAACCCCAATTGCCTAAAAGCAAAATAAAAATAAAAAATAAATAAAAAATAAAAAGTTATCCCCAAATTGGGAGGCAGCTTCAGTCACTTCTGACATGCCTGGGCTGTGTGACCCTGGCCAAATCACTCGCCCTCTCTGTTTCTCCAGCTAACTCTCTAAGCCATGAGCTGTGTTCACGCTCGGGGCAGGGGGGTGGCGGGGGTGCTCTTGACCTTGAATCTCCCATTGAGCACAGGCATGGTACAGTTTAAGAAAGGCTTGTAAAGTGGAAGTGAATAGACCTCCCTCCTGGAGGATGACCAGGCTCCTGAAGCTGGCATGGGCAGGAGAGAATGTAAGGACAGGCAGAGGGAAGGGAGCACGTGGTGGGCCAAGAGGAAGGCGCCCCAGGAGAGGATGCGAGGGGGCCCAGAATTTGTGACCAGAGCCAGGCAGAGGCTTGGGGCTACTTTAGATGACAGGGGGGCAGAGCCCTGAGGGCCACGGACAGGCCAGGGAAAGAATCCTCAAGAGGAGAGGGGAGATCTGGCCCCCAGGGGGGGCTGAAGATTATCTGGGAGGGCAAAGCCCCTCCCTCAGGCCTGGGGCTCCTCCCTGAGTATCCCAGATGGCAGACCCAAGACCACAGCCCCCCTCCGCTTGGCATACGGTGGTCAGGACCTCTCACTCACTGGCAGACCCAAGACCACAGCCTCCCACTCCCCCTCTTGCTGGCAGACCAGAGACAAAGGCCCCTCCCACCTGTCCTCTCCAAGCCCTGAGGTTCTGTGACTCTCCCCTCTCTTCCCCGTTCCTCCCCTTAAGACAACCAGACTTGCAGCCCAACCAGTTTCTGTTTGGTTTAAAAGGGCAGCCAGCCTGGGGTGGGGCTGAAGCCTCGCCAGGGCCTGGCAGGCCTGAAGGTTGGCATTCTTGGGCACTGACACAGCTCCCTCCACTGCGGGGAGATGCTGCTGCCCTGATGCTTCTGGAGCAGAAGGAATTCTCGGGGTGCAGCCTGAAAGAGGAGGGGCCATCCGCAACCCAGGGGGGCAGCACCCCCACTACAGGCTTGCAGGCTGGCAAGAGCCTGCCCGGGTGCTCTCCTGCCAGGGGCGGCCTTGGGGGAGAGACGGCGACATCTCTTCTGCAGCCTTCCCTCCTTCCATCTCATCTCAAATGAGATCGTGTTTGTAAAGCGCTTAGCAAGGGCCTGGCACATACCAGGTGCTGTGTGAGTGCGTATTCCCTTCCCTTCCCTCCGGTCCTCCCAGCTCCTCAGTCCCCTTGCCCCTCTGCTTGGAGGGTGGGGCCATGGGCTCCAGGGCCTCTATGGAAAGGGGGGGCTCAGCACAGGCTGACCCCATCTGCTCCCAGCCCCAGCGCTTCTGGACTCCCCTGCCCTTTTCAGCTTCCTAGTGTGCCTGGTCTTCTCCCGTTAGATTGTAAACTCCTGGAGGGGAGAGGCTGTCGGTTCTGTTTGCATGCATACCCCTCGCTTGGCACATAGCAAGCACTTGGTAAGCGTTGGTTCATTGACTGACTGACCTCTGCCACCTCTCTGGTTCTCGTTTCCTGTCTTCGATGTGGGCGTCCCCCAAGGTTCCATCCTCCTCGCTCTGCTCTGCTCTCTAATCGCCTCCATCTGGGGCCTCCCGCGGCTCCTCTGGAGCCCTGAGCACATCTCCAGCTGCCTGCTGGGTCGCCCATCTGGGCGCCTCAGGCTCAGCATGTCCACAGCAGGATCCATCAGCTTCCTCCCCAGCCCCTCTGCCTCCTTCTGATGCCCTCATTTTTGACATTGTCCCCACCATTCTTTTTAATTTAATTTTTTCAGTTGACAAGGTTTTTTTCTCCCTAAATGGAAAAGAAAAAGAACTCTCTTGTAAGAGCCGCACCTTGTCAAGCCACCCAAATGTCCACACTGATCATAACCAAGAACCTAGTGTGTCCGGCTGTTCTCTGTCCAGAGACGGGCACTGCGCTCCTGTGTCCACGTGCTGGGATTCTGGCTGGTCGTCGCAGGAGAGAGCTTCAGTCTTTGCAGTCTCACTGCCACAGTAGAAAT